ATAAAGATTTAACCTTTCTTTTTAATAGGTAAAAAAGAAATTAGACTTTTCCTTTGGATTTTTAGTGAGTTCTGTCATGGTGTTTACATGTTTACACTCTACATTTAAAGACAACATGCACATTATATATGAATATATACAAGTACTTCAGGAATGTATCGGAAAAAAATATATCGATACTTCATTTTTATGTATCAATGTATCAAATCGCCCCCCCCCTTTTGCTTCTATGTTTTGTTACACCCCTAATATTGATAATAAGGAACGAAATAACAAATTGTTGTGTCGTCATTTTCTTTCTGACAGTGATTGTACATATAATTATTTGTAAAGTTATCTGCAAGCGGATAATACACACTAGTTGTCCATTTAAATTCAATTAACACTAATTTTTTTTTTTACTGATAACCAGCGAAGTAATAGACTAGTATTTGACCAATACCATATAACTTTAAGAAGTACTCCTACAAGTAAGAGCCTCGGTAAACGTCCCTACGCTCCTTTTATACATGTTCCTCGGACTCTTACATCCGAAGGCCATTTTCTAACGAGCTCGTTCCGCCAGAGATTTTGGGCGGAATATATATATACGTGTTGCATGGGGTATAAAAGTCACAAGAAATCCTAAAATCTACTTTATTCAGTATGCATCATTGTTCATTAATCAAAATCGTCATTATTTCAATTTGTCACCAGAATTACTTTCGACATGACTTCATGCTAATTTTGCGGATTGGTAGTCAGAAAACGACAATTTCAATAAACTAGTTTCGTTTCGTCAGATATTCTGCATTCCACATTCCCGAATTTCAAACAGACGACTTGTTTTCATTTCTGCTTCGATTTTAAAAATAATGGATTTATCGATAATAAGAAAGATTAACATTGTTTTATGTGTAAGTTTTATCGCAAATAGTAAATATTTTATTGTTTCGTGTCATTCTTTAATGTTTAAAGCCTGAATTTTTAATTAAACAATTTATTTCCACTAGGGATTTCAGCGGCGAGAATTTTTACAATGGATGCTAGTGGTTACGCCAAGTCAAAAGTATCTCGCCGTGAACCTCTAGCATGCTGGAGTACTTTAAGAAGCACCTATGAATCTATAATTTCTTTATTTTAATATATGTAGAATAAAGACTTGCAAATAATCACAAAAATAATCACAAATATACAAAGATATAATCTAAATACTTATCAATAATGAACACGAGAGAGAGAGAGAGAGAGAGAGAGAAAGTAGTCTGATTTGTTGTTAATTTTAGCTATCAAATGCATATCAAATCCAGAATACCGGTGCTGTAGTGTAAGATTTCCCTCAAAGCCAGCTTTCCCCCGGTATCTCTAAAGTAAGATCCCTCCTCTTTCCCAGAGAAGGATTCCCCCCTTTCCACTTTCGAGACCACTATAAGCAACGATATTTTGGATGGAAATTTTTATGAATGTTGATTTATTCTTTTAAATGAAAAAAATGAGATTTTTTCAAGTCATTTTTTTCAATTTCACTTTGATTTTTTAAACTATATTTCAAATCATGGAATTTCAAACCAGATGTTATTTCTAAGAAATTCAAATCAGTCAAACGTGAAACTTGTATATGTAGGACTCGATGTCTCAACCCCTTTCGTGGCCAAGTGGTATACCTGTATGTGTCACGAGTTTCAAAATGTATATCAGGCCACGTTCAAAAATTAAATACCGGTACATTTGCCCATTCTTCATATTATTTAGATGGTCTATCTATCATCTTGTAACATCTTGTGAGCATTTGAGTCGTGAAGTTCTTCAGTTGGTCGAAAGAAGGCAAAAAAAAAAAAAGCCATGAGATACATGAACACATTTACATATATACAAAATATCAGGTCAAGTAAGGAAGAGTTAGTATATATATAAAAGAAGATTATTACTGAAAACATGCCAATATCTTTTTAACAAACAAAGACAGCTTTATCAGTGGGTCTACATCTGTGGTGGACATAAAGTTCTCAAATTTATAAGTATTTACATTAGAAAAATATTTCTTATCAATAAGTTTCATACATAATGAGGAAAAAAAGTACACTCCACTACATAGTGGAATTCAAAGGGAAGTGTAATTTGATTAATCATTAGTCCAATCAACAAGTAATCGGTAGCTGGTCACCTAATTACAGATCCTTTCAGTTCTTTATTTCGTGGGACGTACATCCCATAGGCATTACAGTACTATATAATAATATATTTATCAGTTACATACATAGTACAATATCATGATATACACTTACAAACTTGTGATACATACATTCTATTATTTAGCTAACTGTTTTAAACATTCTAATCGTAATTTATTAGCATGATATATATATTTCCCTAACTGATTTACATTTTTAGTATTTGTACTACAAAATAGTTGTATTACTTTAAAGACACTTGGTCTTCGGGAGTAGTAATGTTTGATGAATTTGTCTCTTAAATCATGAAAAACTGGACAAATGAATAAAAAATGAAATTCATCTTCAATATCATTTAAATCACATTTCCTATCACTCCTTATTAAATTATCATACCTTCCCGTTTCTATCTTTAAATTATGTCCTAGCTATCCTACCCAATAATTTTAATCATTCAATCAAGAAAAAAGAGCCATGACTCAAGTTGGTTGTTGCCTCGGGTGCGCAAAGCACGCCCTCGTCGACTGTATAACAACCTCTACATATATACCTCACCAAGATTTGTTCTTTTTGTCTTAAGCCACCAAACACTTAAAAAGAAGGCGTTTTCTACGTACATGTAATTAGTTCCTCTTCGTGTACAGATGATAATAATTCATTTGTCCACAATCTTAGACGTCTGATACTTCCAAAATTTGTTTTATTTGAACCAGTGATATTACATCTCATAGGTATACAAAATATGTACATATATATTTATACATAAGATTTGCACAGGATAAGTGTAGTATATGCTATACAATATAATTACATGTGGCAATTACATAAACAATAGCATTTAATGTATTATCATTTCTTATTGTCCACTATTTAAAACATCATTTCTTAATTCATAAGAAAAATACAGAAATTTACCTAGGTTACATAGTTCTTTAGTATTTGTGGAACACATTAACTGTACTAATTTAAATACTGATGGTTTTTTTAAAATTATAATAACTCTTGATATATTTAATTCTTATTTCTTTATATCGAGGACAATTTAATACAAAGTGAAATTCGTCCTCTATCTCATCTGATACAATGTATACATATTTCACATTTTCTATCTTTTTTTCTATGTTACTATACCTTCCCCTCTCAGATAAAAAATAATACAGTTTTTTTGTCCTCTCTAAATTTGATATAACGTTATATAACATTTTTGAATAAGTTTTCCTATTATATCACAAATGTAATATGTTTCACATTCACTGAAGAATGCTGAATCACACCGGAAACAGTTATGTCACACACCGGAAACAGTTATATCACCCGGCGGAAACAGTTATAACATCCTCCCGATCACTTTCACGTGTCTTTATGTTACGCATTTGTAGCTCGGGTTCGACATTTCATGACGTTGGTTGCTAAGCAAGCGTAAACAACGGAGCGCAATTCTTAACGTCATGAAAGCATTTTTGGATTATTCGCCTAAACTTAAATAATTCTAGACGATTTTTTAATTCAAAAATGTTATATAACATATACCACATGACTTCTCCGGTGACAATACCAGAATGTTTGCCCCTCCGTGACAGGAAAGTCCTGGAGTGTTATGTCACCCTCTGCCTTCGGCATCGGGTGACATAACACTCCTGGACTTTCCTGTCACCTTGGGGCAAACATTCTGGAATGTCACCCTCGAAGCCATGTGATATATGTATAATAATAAATAATTATTCAGATTAAGTCGTTATGAAAAAAATGTAGAGTGATGATATATGTACATGATTTTCACAATCAGTTATCAATTTAAAAAAAAAAAGAAAAAGTCGATAACATTTGTATGATTCGGTCATATTTTTATGGTATTTATTGGTATTTAAAATTCTAATAATATGTAATACATGATTTTAAGTAAACATACGCCCGATATCGATGGCATATCCACCCTAAATGCACGCGTCTCCGATCTACCGTAATGCTGGCTTAAAACATCGATCTAAGTTGGTTTAATTCTGCTAAGTTTTTCATATACATGTTTTGTTTTTTTTTAAATTAGACTACAGATATTTTAACTAGATAAGATATGATATCAGTGATATTGCATTACTTTCACACGACTTTCTAGAAATAAAGTATATTCACAACACAAGGATGATATCCCTCAATTACTTGTTGACAAAAAATGTCTTCAATGTAAGGTCTTCTGTGTAAAGCTGTGGGGGAGAATACTTTCTATAGGGAAAATTTTCATGTGACTTTTAATAGCGAGACGTTTTCACTCCTAATGATCCAGGACCAAATATTTATATTTAATGGAATATTTCACCCTGTCAGTTTTCTTTTTAAATAATATCAGCTCTTTAATGTCGATTACTGGTTTAGGTAAAGTCATATCGAATTTCCTAAAAGCTATTTAAATTCTACAGAACTTAAAAGAAGAGAATTTGTTCAGCAAAGTTAATGTTGCACTGTATGCATAATAAAAAGGGATTTCCTTTGTTACATGCCAAAATATATTTTACTATTTCCTGTTTAAACATTTCACATTCATCCTTATTATTTCATGAAAAGTTCAAATGATGCACGCACACACTGACTAGAATTCTCGATTTAATAAACATATCCAACAGAAAAATACTTAAAATAGCCATCATAAAGAAGGAAATTGAAAACATGATGTTGAATTTATCTGATAAATGTTTTAAAAAAATTAAATCTACATGTACACTGAATTTCTCAAACGTGTATTTATTTCTTGCAGATTAAGGAGCCTGGCATTTCCTCAAGTTCTAGAAACAGCAATTAACGTATCTGTAATCCACGATCATTTATATACGTATCACTGAATGCCTCATGGAAAAAGTGATCGACGAAAGTTTGAATAAATCACCTACCCGATTAATCCTTTAAAATGCCTCTAATCACTAACAGTTCAGTCAACAGTTCGGTTGACGCTTCGTCAACAAGGACAGAAGAATGAATGCAGCTGTGTTGACTTCTGATAATTCCAATTGGAGACCTACAGTTGTTCAGATCGCGCCGTTTTTGCACGACAGCAGAAGTTTTCCAAAATTAAGACCTTCTACCTCAATTACAAACCCTAACTCCGAAAGTAAAGAAAAACGGAATTACCCAGTTTTAGCTGTCACTCGCACAAATTCGTTCATTACCAGCGATTCAGATAGACCAACAAATGATGACGGGTTAAAGGTGCCATTCTCCGGAAGACCTCCAACAGAGTTCATTAAATCATTTTACCGAGGGAAAATTCTTAACCACGACAACTACGTGAATGCATCTTTTCCTGACTGTGTTGATAAAAAATGTTCTATTCAGGATTTAAATTTTCAAAATTTGGATATTCACAGAGAACCTGAAATTGAAAATCAGATGGATCAATCTCAGTTCCCAGCAATGACTAATAATAAAACCACTAAATCTGTTTTATCAGAAAGAAAATTCTTTTATGGCACAAATGGAATCATGCGAAGTTTACATCTAACTCCAGGAGAACTTGAGTTACAAAAGCATAAAGAAAATTATGCACGTGAACAGGCTCAGAAGAAAAAGAAATATAAACTGAATGTGAATCAGCTTCCACGAAGTACCACACCAATAAATGACCATGACCCCGATAAGCTGAACATGAAACAAGTCATCCAATTTCTTCAAAATAAAAGTGAAATAAAAATAGTGTCTAAAAAGCAACCTGGAAAATTATCTATAAACTGTGATCCCCAAAAATTAAGTACAGTTGGTGTACGTCCAAAGACCGAGACAATTATAGCACGCCAGCGGATCAGTCCTGACTGTGTCCGTCCTAGTACAGAGCTCCCAAAAGAGGATGGGAAATCTGAGTCAGAATCCAGGATTGCTAGTAGGAGCTCGTCTTATAGTAGAGATTCTTATGGATCAAGATCTGTTTTGTCTACCCAAAGTGTTCCTATAATGGACTCTAAAGGAAAGCGAAATCATTCTAAAATGAACCCATCCTCCAGGTCTGTTAAGGATAGAGGGCGGCATTCACGTAGAAGTGTAAAAGAATTCAAACTTCATAGATTTTTAGCTTTAGCCCCAAACGGAATGGGACAAACTACGGCTCCAAACAACCAGGTCGAAGAATCAGGAACAATTTTCATTTCAGATAAGGAAAAATGCAGTGAAAGACAAATTAAGAGAAAAGCCACTGATGAATTTCAAGGCCGTGTTACGTACCGTTCTCCCATGATAAGAGAACAGGTACCGGCTTATCAATTCAGTGAAAATAAGCTAGAGGGCAACAAAATCAGTGCTAAGGAGGAAACGGGTACACGGAAGTTGGAGCAGAGAAAAGTTTCTAGAGCGTCTAGTTTGATGCATCGCAAAGCTCTATCACAATTTAGAGAAAAAGTCCGCCTGATAAGAGCTGAACATTCTGAAGAAGATGACGAACAGAAGAACACAACAATAAGACTTCCAAGTGTCCATGACTACGAGGATAGTGTTCGACATCTTGAATCAGAAGATGATGAAGCCATATCTGCTGACATTTCTTACCCGGAACAGGATGAAAAAGGACAGGAAATTGCATCTCTCTTATCCAGCAGGTCCGACCAAACGTGTAACCGTAGTGTTAGTTACCATCCCTCGCTTGTTATTCAAACAGATTACCTGGATAACAACAACAATAACAACAGACAACTCGTGGTAAACATTCCAAAACAAACTGATGCAGGTAATAAAGAGATGATAAAGTTAACTCTACGTCAGGAAAAAGATGTTACACGTGAACAAAGTTACATGCATGATATTGCAACGCCGAGAGAACACAATGTATATACGATGATGTGTCAACATCTCAAACAAACTCTACCACCGTCAGGTGACAACAGCTTGTACAATAGGAGAGTGTATCGTATCTCTGCAGTGTCCATAAATGAAGACGAAAAGTACGATACACTACCGGACGGAGCATCACTGACGGTTCACGAGACCTTAGCGAATAGCTGTATCAAAGTTAGGCAAAAACTGAAAGGAGCCGTTCATAATGAATAACACTCTTAATTCAACAATTAGTTGTCATTTAGTTTAGTTGAAGATTCTTTCTAAAAGAAGGTAGACTAAACGAAAATTGTTATATTTAGGCTGCGAAGAATTTATTCTAAACATACAATAAACTAGTATTAATTGTAACGGGGACCGTTACAGATGTTCCCCAAACGCTCCCCAACTTCCTTTTGGTGTCTTATTCCCTGTAAGCTTCATTAAAAAAGGCAGTCAAGTATATTGGGTTTTTTACGCATTACACGCGGGCGCACGGGCATGCATGTAAAAAATGACCATGTCAACTTGTCTACACTTTTAATACATCTTTATATTCAAATTTCATCAAAAGATAAAAAAAAATTCGGCTATATTAAGTATATCTGTCATTTTACGCATTGCAAGCGCGCGCACGTGTATGCATGTCCATAATGACCATGTCATCTTGACAACACTATTAATATATTTACATATTTTGAGTATCAAAGCATTTCATCAAAAAGTGTAAAAGTTACAGCTATATCAAGTAAATTGGTCATTTTAGCATTTCATGCGCGCGCATGTGCATGTTGACAATGTCGTCTTGTCTACATTTATAAAGGGTCTATATATTCTGAGTATCAAAGCATTACATCAAAAAATGTAAAAGTTATGGTTATATCAAGTATATTGGTAATTTTACTCATTGCACGCGTACGCACGTGCATGCATGTGCATGCTGACCATGTCATCTTGTCTACACTATTAATATATCCTTATATTCTGAGTATTAATGTATTTCATCAAATGATATGAAAGTTTTGGCTATATCAAGTTTATTGGTCATTCTACTCATTGCACGCGCACGCACGTGCTTGCAAGTGCATGCATGTGTGCGCTGATCATGTCATCTTGTGTACACTTCTAATATTTATTGATATTCTGAGTTTCAAAGCAATTCATCAAAAAATGTACAAGTTAAGTCTATATCATTTGCATTGGTTATTTCAATCATTGCGCATGCGCACACGTGCATGCATGTGCATTCTGACCATGTCATCTTGTCTACACTTTTAATATATCCTGATATCCTGAGTATCAAAGCATTTCATCAAAGGATATGAAAGTTATAGCTATATCAAATATATCTGTCATTATACTCATTGCACGCGCGCGCACGTGCACACACGTGCATGCATGTGTGCGCTGATCAAGTCTTCTTATGTACATTTCTAATATATATTTATATTCTGAGTTTCAATGCAATTCATCAAAGAATGTACAAGTTAAGTCTATATCATTTGTATTGGTTATTTCAATCATTGCGCATGCGCACACGTGCATGCATGTGCATTCTGGCCATGTCATCTTGTCTACACTTTCAATATATCCTGATATCCTGAGTATCAAAGCATTTCATCAAAGGATATGAAAGTTATAGCTATATCAAGTATATCTGTCATTTTACTCATTGCACGCGCGCGCACGTGCACGCACGTGCATGCATGTGTGCGCTGATCAAGTCTTCTTGTGTACACTTCTAATATATATTTATATTCTGAGTTTCAATGCAATTCATCAAAAAATGTACAAGTTAAGTCTATATCGATTGTATTGCTTATTTCAATCAATGCGCATGCGCGCACGTGCATGCATGCGCATTCTGACCATGTCATCTTGTCTACACTATTAATACATCCTTATATTCTGAGTATCAAAGGATTTCATAAAAAAAATATAAAAGTTACAGCTATAACAAGTATATTGGTCATTTTACGCATTGCACGCGCACGCACGTGCATGCGCGTGCGCGCAAAATGACCTTCGTTCCGCAAATCTACATAACATTCCTATTAACCCTAAAAAGGTTTCACCTCAATCGGATGTGTAGTTTCGGAGATCACTCACGGACAAAAAAGTACCCAGGAAGAAAAATAATAATAATAATAATAATAAGAAACAGAGTAAAAACAATATGTTCCCAAACTTCGTTTGGGGAACATAATTAAGAACAGAGCTTGAACAAATCAAAAAAAAAATGGTACAAATACGGTATGCATTAAACATAGTTTCATAAAACAGTATTAGGATCAGTTTTTAAATCAGTGTTTCAATGTTTGGATTATTGTTTAATCCATTAAACGACAGCGTTTTAAATGCACTTTGAAATGTACCCGATGGCGGTACTGGAGTCTAAATGAGCAGAAACAGGGGTCTCTGAAGTTCAAGGAACAATTTTCACTAAGGAATCCTTTTTCATATAGAAAATCAGTTAAAACAACAAAGAAGCGATAAAACATTTGATCAACAATTGAGGTTCGCAATTCACATGCAAAATTTGCCAACCCCTTTTTCTATGTGGAATATTTGGCTGAATTATAGAAAAGCATTTTTTAAAACATCCTGTTAGCTAAGTATAGATATACTAGGATCACTTTAAACCGCACTTTTTTCCTAAATGCATGCAGATATTGAGCTGATTTTTGGTATATGACTTTACCTTGATTAGTTATAAATTAGGTTTGCATTTCGTTCCGCTTCAATGATTTTTGACGGAATTATGGCATTTTCAATTTTTAACGGGAACCAGATTACACTTGCGGTAGGGGACTAGAATTGCTAATGCAATACTTAATGGGGCGCCCCCCCCCTCTCTCTCTCAAAATAATGAAGAAAATAGGAAAAAGTTTAAAAGTTAAGTTTGTTTTAGTTTCATAGTTTAAATGTACTTACACATCAAATTAGGTAAATAGAATTTATATCATTAACAAACTTACTAACAAATAAACTTTTTTATTACCTTAGCTCTGGCGAGTAAGATTTTTTGTTCGTTTGTTTAATGTCCCTCTCGAGAATTTTTCACTCATATGGAGACGCCACCACTTGCCGGTGGAGGGTTGCAAATTTTGACCTATACTCGGCACTTAGGGCCATTGAGCAGTGAGGGATCTTTTTCGTGCCAGCACCTACTGCGACACGGGACCTCGGTCTATACAGCCTCATCCGAAGGACTAGCCTCCACGTCCCGCAGTGATTTCGAACCCGCGACGTAAGGATCTACTCCTTACATCCCCACTCTAGAGCTAACGATCTAACCACTGCGAGTAAGGTAGCGGACAGTTTCTAGGCAAGGAAATACTGCCTTTCTAGTAAGCTAGCTTATCTATTGATCGCCCTCCCTTTCTAATAAGCTACAGCTATAAGCTAAAACAATCCCGTATTGGTTAGAGCTATTATCCGCATTCACTCGTTATCTTATAAAATGAAGCATTAAAGAAATTCCAGCATCTCCAAAATGCAATTTTATAAGCTTCTGGACATTGTGAACAATAATTCCAAACATTCAATCTATTTAATGCTTAGAATAAACATCTTATGGCATTTTACAAATGGGCAATTAGTTATGTGTAGGGACTTAGCAAGCAGTGTTTTTCAAAGTTTTTTTGGGGTGGGGTGGGGTGGGGTGGGGATGGGGATGGGTGATAAGCAGCAAGGTAATAACAGACAAACAAATATAAATCCTGATTAACTGTAAGAGGCATAAAAAGGAAAACTTTCTAACGATATATTTATTTTATGGGAAAGGATTGGGGGATTCTTTTAAAAAAAAAATCGGGAAAAAGTAACACGAATACCCACCTTGCCCTCCCCCCTTCCCCCCAGTACCACTGGTTTAAAAGAAATGAACGGTTGCAAAAAGTCTGGAGTCTCTTAAGTTCATGTCAGGACGAGTCTTGCAATGTCATAATTCTAGGAGAATTTCTAGGATAAGTCTTAAGTTAGGACAGATTCAATGACCTAAGTTAGGACTGAGATATCTCTTAAGATACATCTTAGTCCTAGGAAGGTTTCGATAGCATGCATTTAGATTCAGACTGATCTGTCAGAATTTAACACTTTTTCATGTGCTATTTTAACATTTTTTGTGACAGAAAATGATGAAATATGAAGACAAGCTCATAGTCCATGAAATATATGGAGATAACGAACAGTATTCAAGCTCAAAAGTCCATTAAACAATACAAAATAGGAGCAGAGCAAACACGGACCTCTACACATGAGAGGTGAGATCAGGTGCCATGGAGGAGTGAGCATCCCCTGCCGACCGGTCACACCCGCCGTGTGCTCCTTGTCATGATCGGGAAATAACGGGAAAATCCGTCGACAATTCAGTGTGTAAATAATGGCCTGACAATTAGTATGAAAAACGTCAGTCAGCATTTGACTCAATGATAAATTGTCCATTAAAACAATATAAATCGGGAGCAGAGCAAACACGGCCTTCCAAAACCATCACCGGCGGGATCAGGTGGCATAGGGAAGTAAGCATTCCCTGTCGACCGGTTACACCCGCCGTGTGCTCCTTGTCATGATCGGGTAAATGGAAAAATCCGTAGAAATTTCATATGTAAATAATGGCCTAACAATTAGTATGAAAAACGTCAGTCAGCATTTGACTCAAATATAAATTGTATTTGCTGACAAGGTCAGAATTTGACCCTAATGATAGATTCTATTTGCTTATAAGGGGCCAGTTTATAGAGGAACTTACGACTAAGACCAAAAAAACTTCAGTTGACTGTAAAATTTTGCAAAATCAATTATTCTGTTTAAAATTGCCATCGTAAAAATATTCCTTTTAAAAAGATTAAAAACATTTTTAATATGATGTAAACAAGCATTCTGAGAGTATTGCATTAGCAATATTAGTCCCCTACCGGCAAGTGTAATCTGGTTCCCGATAAAAATTGAAACTGCCATAATTCCGTCAAAAATCAATGAAGCGGAACGAAATACAAACTTGAACTAAAACTCATCAAGTTAAAGTCATATACCAACAAGAGGCCCAAGGGCCTTAAGGGTCACCTGAGTATGATACAACAATTTAGAGGATCCATAGAGTATAAAATGAACTGAAAGGTGAAGCTTTGTTGCCCAAAAGCAAGAAAAATAGGGTGATCAGGATCAACAAAATAATTAGTCTAGTGTTCATTAACAAGTCATAAATTATAATTAGTCTAGTGTTCATTAAC